AAGCTACATCAACAGATTTGAGTCACAACAAATTTGCGTCTGCAGTGATACAAGTTACAAAGAATTTATTGACAGAGAAATGCGTCTAACAACATTAACACTTTCAGTCGAATACATGTTTGCTTAATTCTCACAGATGTACGTCACCGTAGTTATGGAAAAGACGGTGAAGCGATTCTAATGACTTTATTCAGAACACTAGAAAGTATATTAACAAATATGGTTAGTGGAGGCATAGTTTCGACAGTTAAACTACAGGCACACTCAAGCTCAACCTCTCCCGGTTAACTGGCTTGCTGATCTTGTAGCCGGTCTCGAGCCCGAGTAAAGAGGAGGGGTTGGGCGTAGGGCTAGAGACCCTACACCGCTAAAGCTATCAAACAGCTAGAGAAACTTCAACACACAAAAGTATATTGAAAATACAAAAATTCAAATAATGATTTCATTCCTCGCTGGAATCAGAGAGGCGAAATGACGGGGACTAGTGAAAGCCTTCGGGAAGTCAGTCAGCCGATGTGTCTTCTCTCGATGAAAGCAAGAATAAGAATGGGGGCGTGATAAAGTCCGTACAATGTACGAGACTGGGAAGGCTGAACAAGTAGCCAACAAAATGCGAAAATATGGCATACAAGCGCTGGGTATCTGCGAAAGCAGATGGAACGGATGTGGATTATACAAATTGTCAACTGAAGAGTCAGTAATCTACTCCGGTTCGGTCATCTAGAGGACAACCACGAACACACTGAGGGAGTGTTCATAATGGTGTCACCAGCGGCAGACAAAGCTCTTATGCAGTGGGAACCAATATCATCCAGGATCATGACAGCAAGATTCAATTCAAAAGGAAGGAAGGAAGGAAGGTTACGATTATTCAATGCTACAAACAACACGGAACAAGACAAGAAGGAAGAGTTTTACAGACAACTACAAACAGTAATGGACAACATCCCAAATGGTGACATCAAAATCCTCATGGGCGATATGAACGCCAAACTGGGACCTGATAATAGACAAAGAGAAATCATCATGGGTCGAGAGACTGGTTCGGAGAGATGAATGAGAACGGAGAACTATTCGTAGACTTCTGCGCTTTCAATGATTTGGTGATTGGAATCAACGTGTACAAGCACTAAGACATACACAAAGCAACATGGGTTTCACCTGACTAAAACACTACTAACCAGACAGATTTCATCTCAATGCTGCTCATGATAGGGGAGATGCAGCTGGCCTGCTGGACACAAAGTCGAAAAAGGGATTAGATGTGGGCTCACTCACACCACCATCTAGTTCAAGGAACCTGCCTTCAAGGTGAAGCTGAAATCCCTGAAAACAAATGGGGACAAGCCACTGTAATTCAAATTCAACATTCGGAAACTGTATGACAAAACTGCACAGGATGTCTTCACCACAGATCAGTTCAGAGAAAAGTCGGAGACATTACGTGGCATCCCTGAGGAAGCTTGTGTGGAAGAGCATTGGAACTGACTCTCTGAATGTGATGTTCAAGGAAACTTGTACAAATGTTCTAGTGAGAAAGAAGAGACACGACAAAGAGTGGCTCTCATCGAATACCTGGAAACTAATAGAAGAGAGGAGGATGATGAAAAAGATGACTCAATGCAAAGATGGGCAACAAAAGGAGAAGCTGAGTTCAATGTACACTGCACTGAATAAAGCAGTAGAGAAGAGTGCTACGAAAAATAAAAGACAGTTCCACGACACACTGCCAGGCAACTAAACCCAGCTAGCTTAAGCTGGACAGGCCGCAGGCAAAAGAGAACTCAGGACATTATATCAAATAACTAGGTCTCTATCCGGAACGATATCAACCCAGATGATGAAACCAATAAAAGATGCTCAAGGGGACCAGATTACCACGAAGGGGAAACAAATAAAACAATGAGCTGATCACTTTAAAGGACTCTTGAGTCAACCATCACCTGCAACTCACCCAGAAATACCACCAACAGCACGCACAGACCTGCCTGCCAGTGGAAATTCTGAATGCGAACAAGCTACTGAAGACTGTGAGAGCAGCAGGACCAAACTGCATCCCCTCCCAAAGCACTGAAAACGGACCCAGAAATTGAGGCAGATGTTCTCACGCCATCATTCCAAAAGGTCTGGAAAGAAGGTAAGGTGTCTACTGTGCGTCGGTGGCACAGTGGTTAGGACTCTCGCCGACCATGCATATGGTCCGGGGTTCGAGCCCACGCCGACGCACACCTGATATCTATGGTCGGCCTGCGAAATTTGGGCTACCGATATCCACGCTGAAAATTCCATACTTGTCCCAAAAATACGGTGTGGAATCAAGCTGTAATCAAAAATATAAAAAAAAATAAATAAATACTGACTGGGAGGGATACCGCATCAAGCTGCCAAGGAGGGGCAACCTAGGCCTTACTCCGCAAGAACTGGTATGTAATAATGCCCTAGTCCACGCCAAGCAAAGTACTAAGTCGCAGCATCCTGGAAAGAATGAAAAATGCACTGGATACAGAAATCCGCCAACCCGGAACAAGCTGAATTCAGAAAAGGCAAGTCATGTGCTGATCAAATTGCAACTCTACGCATCGTCATCACATAAAAAAGCATGAGATGGCAGTCAGACCTCTCTATACCTCAACAAATTCATCGACTTCGAAAAGGCCTTCGACAGCACTAACCAACACTACGGCGTGCCTCAAATCTTTATCAATCTCAATGACAATGTCACATATCAAGTGATCCATAACGAAACACTCAGCGAGGCGTTCGAAGTGGACACATGAGGAAGACCAGCTAGTTGCCTGTCTATTATCACCGATGATATTCTTAATTGTGGTTGACTGGATTATGCGTCAGCCTGTGAACAGGGAGGGAGGAGACAGGAGTACGCTGGACCACTGATGGGGAGACTCTGGAAGTTCTGGATTTCGCAGATGTCTGATGTCACATAAACTCGAAGACTTACAGGCGAAAACCAACAGATTGCCTGAAGAAGGAGACAAAGACAGGACTTATAGTGAACAAAGAGATGACGGAGGTGATAAAGATACTCACCAACCAACAGCAACCACAACCAAAACAACAACCAGCACCAATCACCATCAACGGGAGAGATTTAACAGAGGTTGCCTCCACTTATCTATCTATGCAGTATACCGTATACAAAGGTAAATCCTCCTCTGCTGTGCTCACTGAAGCTGGTGTTCCCCAGGTGCTGTACTCTCCCCACTTCTCTTTTCTTTCTTTCCACATGACTAACCATATTCAAATAACATTAATTTTGTCAAATACACTGACGACCTGACTGCATCTTTGCCTGTCAAATGTCAAAGTGACTGCTCTAAACTAAATGGCTTTTTATCAGAAATCAGCCAATGGTCCAAGGAAAATGGCCTTAACTTAAATCCCTCTGAAAGTCAAACAGTCAGTTTCACCTTTGGGCACAAATCTGACCTAAACAAACTGGTTAGCACTAATGAGATGTGCAACATAGATGGCACTGAAATAGAAACTAAGTCTGAAATTAAATACCTAGGCGTCATTCCATCTGCTGATCTTTCATGGTCGTCTCATATCTTGATGATTTCTAAGAAAATATTCCGTCTTACCTTCTACATCAAGAAGTTAAGACATTCTGGCATAACCTAACCCTTACTCCTACAATTCGTTAATTCCCGCATTCTGCCTATTATTGTCTATTGTTCCCCCTTAGTTTCATTCCATGTCTAATGAAGAAGGATTATATCTTATTACGTAGGGTGTTAAAGGTTGTTAGCAGGGTAAGCAATGTACCGCTTAATCAGCTAGTTAATATTCTGGTCGACAGGCACTTGAACTCATGTGAAAAATGGGCTAAATTCATTCTACTTAACTCACACCACCCTCTTTATTCACAACTCTCCCCTTGTATCTCATCAGGCAAAACCAGAAGCCTATATGTTCGCACTGACAAGTACAAACACTCAACCATAACCTACTTAGCTAGTGTTCTGTGCGATAAAGAAAGCATTAGACGTGATACCTATACCTATAAATAGTCAGTAGAACAACCGGATCTCGTCTTTCCAACTCACATCTTTTATAGGTACAACGTTTTCTTCCTTTCTTTTTCTTTTCTCTCTCTCTTTTGTCTGTTATGTGCTTCTTTGTTTCTTTCTTCTGCTTACACCAGTAAATATGCTACCATCGACTTTTCTAACACCTTCAAACACTGTTCAATTTTTGGCTTTGCTATCGACATACCAATATGTTGTTGTCATAATGAAGTGAGATTTCCTTAATCTATGTAGAATTTTATTTATTGATAATGTACTAACTGGATGCAATACTGTAGTCAAATGCTGAGAATTCCATTCTGTATCACAGGTACTGTTTTGGAATAAAGCAAAATAATAATAATTATTATTAGGAAGCATCGTTTCAACTACAGGCCAGTGGAAAGGATTGAGATGTCAAAGTCAAAATCAGAAAGGCAAGGTACGCCTCCATCAACCTGAAACCAGTTTGGAAATCTTCTGCACTCAACATAAGGAACAAGATTTGGATTTGCAACACCAATGTCAAGTCGGTCCTTTTATGCGGGTCATAAACTTGCCCAGTGTGTTACAAAAAGGATTTCCATAATGAAGATGAAATGCGGGCCAGAAAGAATAAGTAACACGAAACTTTGGGAACAAAGTAACCAAGAACCGGTCACTCAACAAATATGTAGGAGAAAATGGAGATAGATCGGGCCGGGCATATACTGAGGAGACAGCCGAATGAAGAAGCGACGAGTGGGTCGTCCTAGGGTGATATGGAGGAGGTGAGAGATTGTACGAAACCGTAGCCGGAGCTGAAGAGGACGGCAGAAGATAGGACAATGTGGAGATGTGTTGTTGAAGGCCTATTTTCCACTCGGAACTCAAGGGAGTAATAATTACTATAATAATATGCTCAACCTCATTTGTTGCTCTGCGCTATCGTGTTACTAGAAAATATCGAAGCATCTTCTTCTTAACCTCATATTAAATAAACATTAATTTCATCAAACGATATGCTGGAGCCCATAAACAAGCACACATTCCACCTATACACTCACTATTAACTAGACTTTATAAACACGAAGGAATTTCTCCTTATTACTATTATTATGGTCACTTCAAATGTTATCCGCTAATTCACATCCCTGAAATCTTATCTTATTTTACTAACCACATTATTCCGAACGTCTAATGACTACTGTCTCATATGTATATGTTAAGCCTGAGGACAATATACCGAAAAAATGTATTAGCTCAAATTGTGTTTGTAGGGATAAGACCTTCAGTTTTACCTACTCGTCAGAAAGTACAAATAAAAAGCATGAACCCTTTGTATCTTGTAATATCTATAATAATTTGTAGCTGTAAAACGAAAATTATTATTTGAACATTTAGAAGGCAAGCTGACTGAGCAAATAAACATTTACATTTATGTTAGCTTACATGATGGAAAATTTTGAAGAAATGAGGAGTAAATGACAAGTATAAGTGTTTATATTAGTTACGTAATAAACGATATCTTGGGCTTTAAAAAAATAAGTATAAACTACCTGATTCATTTTTTCTCTATGAGTAGCTGCCATCTTAACTACCTCTATGGAGCCATTCACAATGACCGTACAATTTCGCATGTTTATCTTCTGATTTCCGAACATCAGCATGCCTGTTTGAGCAAGACTTATCAAGAAAGCAGTTCACGGGATTTGATAAATATTGGTTGATGTTACTTGCACAGCTACCTTGTACTACTGTGGAGTCTGATGGTAGAGCTTGTAAATGAGGTATTTGACTTGAGCTACCTGGAATAGACGTCTGTTTGGGTGGTAAAGAGTCACAGGAAGTACTTGACATCTGATCAATCACATGATTTGAGTGCAGATTAAAACAACTTGACTCACATTTTTGGAACGTGTGACATTCATTATCTGGCATGATTTTCGGACAATGTTTACATTCACGCGAACAAAGTAGAGGTGATAATCCAAGTATATCAGCAGCCAAAGTGTTTCTAGACGTAATATCATAATTTTCAAACATATGAGAGAATAATGTATCCAAAGAGCGATTTATGTGCTTTCGTAAGTCAATTAAATATTGCTTTATACGAAATTTTACAATAGCATAAACGACAGATAAGACTGCCTTCTTGGAATGGAGCACAGACAAGTTTGATGTCCTATTCCTACTCCGAGTTGATATATGCATATTTCTTACTCGGCTAAACGGTGGCATAGACAATCGATTATCAATAAGCGCAAATGTAATTGACTCCTGGAACCTTCGGATTTGCGCTGCATGACAACCAAGCGGTTTAGTATGGGATGTGCTTGGTTCACTTGTCAGCTGACTGGGACGTGAATGAGACTTTGAATCATAATTACGAACAGTTGGATTAGAAGAGCACCTTGACACATATGATAAGCACGGCAAAGAGGAATTATCATGTGAGCTTCCTCTAGAGTTAGACGAGAGTGAATCAGGAGACCATAACACATTCTTAGATTGACCAACAGTACTGGTTCTAAGACTACTACGCTGCATACCAGAAGGGTGAGGTAGTTTATTTCCAGGAAGAAAACTTTTCATTTGAGATGTCCCTTCCTGACAGCAGACAGGGATATTATTAGTGTTGACTGTCCTCGACGAGATGTTATGGTAATTTCTGGGACCACTTGGGGCGGAAGGACTGAAGCAATGATCGTAACATTCTGGTCGGCAAACTGACTTTAAATTATTATTCATCACTTTTTCAATCAAAGTACTGGTGACTGCCAAAGGTATCCGGCTGGTATGATGTTGATGGTCTGCAAAATGAAAACGAAACACACTGCACGCTAAGTGGCCATTTGGCAAATAACTACAGGCAGGTTTTAGTTGCTTTAAGCTGGCTCGGCCGTGGTTGGTTTAATCGTCCAAGTTCAACATTTTTGTGTCAGAAATGCCACATTTTTCCCCTGGCTGATTTCTAGAGCGGATAGCTGAAAATGCACTTTTTTGAAATTCGCTTTTTATGAAATTGGTGTGGTAACGTAGAAGTTAATAAAGTAGTGTGAAATCATACAAACCCATTAACTACCAAATATTTTAGATCAGATTTAAATTTCCGATTTATTGATTAGGGATGAAAGGCTTGGAGCTTATTTTAATCCTTTCCTAGTAAGTTTCTGTGATTGTCTAAACCCTTCTTGAGTGAATCCGTTGAGGTTGCAGACACCATTTCTTCTGAGAGTCGGTTCCAAGAGTTTGTAGCGGTAAATAATTCCCCGAAATTATTGACCACGCTACTCATCACTGAACATCGGATGCTGACCCTCACTCTTCAAGTCAGCTTGTTTATATGAAGGCTTCTGGTCAGACATCCACGCTGTTCGCTACACTGTCGCGTCACATTCGCGCACGATCCCTACCTTAACATATTTATTTTCGAATAATAAATAAAAATTGTCCATTCGCTCCCGCGAATTAAGCCAAATGGTAGTAGAGAAAACGGCAGACAAAAAGTATTCCTATGTGGCGATAAATTTACAATATCACTGGTTCAATTCTTTTCTACGCCTGAGTCTATACGTTCCACGCATGTAAGTATCATAGATTTTCAAAGAGCCTTGAATAGTTGAGATGCAGAGACGTGAAATGTCGAAAGAGGTGAAAAAGAGTCTGTGAAAGTATTTTGTAGAGAGTTGACTGATCATCCCTCAGTAAGAGATTACAACAGGAATTTACATGATTCTTTGAATTGTATGTCCCATTGTAGACAGGAATCGTTTACATGCAGCAACCATATATTGACATCTTCGACGCATGGCTGATGTAAATGTGTGCGTCGCTGCAGATTGTTACGTCGAGAATGTATGCCACACCATCTAACAGGATAATCATATCTGGTTGACAGAAAGACGTGGGCTTTGGAACATGCGGCTCGATGTAAAATCTAGTATTGGATTTGCGGAGTTTGTTGGCGATCAGCTTGAGGGCGTTGTTGTGTCTCTTGCATCTGGCCTCATGAGTGAGAGCGCAATGCTGAAGAATATGTTGAAGATTTTCTGGTTGGCCTCACTCGCCTCTACAGTTTATGTCGACTCTGGGACGTCCCCGTGCATGTCCTGTTTTTGTGCCCAAGAGTCCTCCACGCAGTTGAGCGGCCCGTACGTAGAGTTTGGGCAAAACCATTTCAGGGTTGAGAAGCCATTTGTGAGATTCAGGACATGTTGTTGATTCCGTCAAACCGAAACCATCCACTGATGAGTGTAGCTGTTGTACCCAGCTTTCATGTGCTTCTTCTAAAGATGTTACTATTTGTCTGTGGGCCTGCATCGGAAGATTGCAGATCCTAAGAAAAGGCGTGAAGGTGGCGGAGGACGCTATGCTGCGTACAAGTGAACTCCTATTATATAATAATAATAATTATTATAATAATAATAATTTATTTTCATATAAACATAAATTTACATGAAAATGCATGCCATTTTTACAGGCACGATCAAGTATGTTATAATGTCAAATCTTAAATTGTCTACAAGTTAATAATGTTTCAACAGTTAAATATTTGATACATATATATAATTACACTGATTGTCTGAACTAGGCCGTATAGCTTTGAACTGTACAGTTGTCCTCCAGGTTGAGCGGGAAAATCGACTTCGTTTCGTTTTCATCCCGTGGTTGTCGGCATACGATAACCAACCAATATTGAGGTAGGTACAAACTTCACAAGGGATTGGAAGCTGTTTTGGAAACGTCAAAGTGCTGAGGTGAATCAATAAAGTGTAATAGATTAAGTGAGTGAAATATATCATTAATAAATACATTTACATAGGAAACAGAATGGGGAAGTAATTAATCCTTAGGCCGACAACGTTCATTTGCAATGTATTATAAAACCAATATATTTCGTACTATCATGATGTCCACTTTTGGTTTTAATATATTATTTTTCAAGCCAGCTGTTTTTATTTCATGTTTTTTTCTATTTGGTGCACAATCGTACCCTACAGAGAATAGGAATAGAATAAGTCGAATCAAATTCATAAAGAGCTATAAAATATTAGGTTTAATGGAATATAATGAGGATAAAGTAAAGGCGTCATTAGAAAATAAGTGAGACAAGACATTGAAGTGGTATTTAAAGATCTGACAATGGATAGCAAGTTGAGCAGTGCTGCGATTCGTTTGCGCATATGACTCGGAGTCGTCGTTGAGAGGATCAGTCGGCCATGCAGACACAAATGGAGCAAATGGAGAATTCTGGAATCGACCTCGGAACCATTTGATGCAGTAAAACAACTTAACATGACCTTATCTAGTATTCACATCCACGATCAAATTTCTTTCCTGTTGTAAAACTACGATAAGACTTCTGGAAAAATGGAATAAATATATCACTGATCTCAACATAATACATCAATAAACTTTAAGCCAAGGGTGCTGTCCACAACAAAGTTATATAGGAGAATTGACTTCAAGCTTTATTTTTCCCAGATATTTGTATTGCATTCATCTGACGTCTATGTTTTTTGTTAATGCGAAGACAATATTTCTATATCTCTTTATGTGCTACACAAACAGACTTCATAGCAGACTGTTCCGACTGACTCTAATGTCAGAAAGGACAACCAAACTGAAAATCCATTGTACATCAAATTATGTGTAATTTATATAATAACCTATCCACGCCTGTACAATTGGTATGTTCCTGCATAAACAGGAAGAAATATATATTATTATACTATACATGAATGAACAGTAATCAAATAAAGGACGCACACAAACCTTGTACAACAGAATTCTGGACTCATTTCTGTAGAAGTTCCTGAGTAGAAAGCCGATAAGTCTGCGCGACTTAGACACTCGTTTGGAGGTATGTTCAGAAAATGATAAGTCATGTGAGTATTTCAGTCCTAGGTCCAATAAAGATTCCGTTCGTAAGAGTGCATGTTCTTGAATTGTCATGTCTAGAGTTTCTAGATAATTTTATGACTTATAAGAATACCTTGATTTCGATGAATTGCATGAGTGACCTCAACTCGAGTTTTATACTAGAAGTAATAGCAAGACGCCTACCTACTCGACTGCAAAGGAAGTGGGTGAAGATAAGCTCCCGTATGGAGGATGAGGGTATCGAGCCAAAGTTTGATGATATCCTAAAACTAGTAAAAGATAGTGTCAATCAATCTATGAGCAAGTTTGCCAGTCTATTGAATCTCACCCCTAGAATAGAGCAGTCTGAGAGCAAAATGCAATCATTGATGACGAGTAGGCCTCAGACAGGTGGATATCGAGAAGGCTCCATGATGTCTAGTAATGCATATAGACCTAGTGAGTGTAACAGGTTTTGTAGTACATCCTCAACAGATAAGTTACAAGATGCAAGACAAACACGGTCGTGTTTTACACGTTTGCAAGAAGTGCGTACAAAGGTGAACTGTGAACCAGTGAGCAAGTTCAGTGATAAGCTAAATGTAAACTCCAGGCCTGACTCCGAATTGTGTGACGATAACGGTGCGGTGAAGAAGTCTGTAGTTGCAACTGGTAAGCCGTTGTTGAATAGAGTGTCACAGAATAGAGTTATTGCTTCAGAGTGGAGTTCTGACTCCACAAGTTTACAAAGTGTTACTATTCAGAGTGAAGATATAAAACCTTTTATGATTTGTGAGGAGGAACCAAAATTGTCTACTTCTGTTATTAAAGATTTTGATAATGATGAGGTCGACCAGATAGATGATGGTAAATTGAATATTTGTGATAATGATGACGATAGTGCAGATTTGTCTTTGGTTGATCATGATGAAATGGAGGGAATGACTACTAATGCTAAGTTAAATAAAGGTTCTGTACAACTTGAACGTGAAGTAGAAATAAATGCAGATGCAGTTGCAGAGGGCATGCATACTTGTGAGACCGTCAGTGTGAGTGATCAGCATGTAGCCCACCTATCATCAGATGCTAGTGCTAAACCTGAGGTGATAGTAAAAGACAGAAGTGGTGGTGGTCTTCCAGGTAGACAAATTTCTGAAAGTAGAGCAACAACAGCTTCTGATCCACCGCTAACTTCATCAACTGGTATCAATCAGTTGTCGTTGGTGTTGTCATCCACAATGAAAAAGACGCCCATCAACTCAGGTACCTTGCGCAATGACTGTGATAGTATTGGTGCGATGAAAAGACGAAAGATACTGCTCAGTTTAGTGAGGATAAGCCAAGTGTAAACGAGAGAGTAATTGTTAAATTGACTTGCACGAATAAATGCATTTCTAGTTTCAAGTTACTATTTGAATGTTATTATCTTTGGTGTAAATTACTCTGTGCCTACGCTTGGTTGACCAGATACGTCGGGTGTTTGTTCGTCATGTGTATTCTATGACACAATGACATGAGCGAGTTACCGTTCAGATTTGAGGATATAGCTGATAGAAGGAAGTTAGCAAATGAACTCTGCGACGATTTTCCAACCTAGGGCGTCAACCTGAGAAGGGTTGTAGGCGTACTGCTGTAAGTCCTACAATTCTTCAAAGGGTAGTGCATCAATGAGCGGTCCAATGTGCTTGGTGTGTACATATGTTCATATTGTATATACTGAATTGATATCATCTGTCATCTAGCTGTTGGTAATTCTGTTTGTGTCTGGACGACTTCCACTTGGATCATCAACCTGAGAAGGAATGTAGGCGTACTGCTGTAAGTCCTACAGTTCTTCAAGGGTAGTTTGTCGTGCTAGAATCCACAACATTTGATGTAGTGATTGT